TTGAGATGAATAGTAAATTAACCAACTCATAATTGATCTAAATTCTACACTTTTAAAGCCACTGGCACATAAATATACATTACCTTCATAAACCCGACGAATACACTCACTGTAGCTCGCATGCTAAATGAGTTAATCTGGACACATATTTTCTGTACTGACTGCTATTTTTGTACACCTGGTGTCTTCTTTTAAACAATTACTGGACCATGGTGAACAGAGAGGACTGGCAAAGACTCAAGTCTCCCAGTCAAACAGCTGGAGTGACCGGTAGGTTCTTAGATCATTACACAGTGAGGAACACATCAACTGCAAAGGATGTATTTTTTTCATGTGATATTTAATCTCCCATTAATGTCAACAGTGTATCTGACTTTACGTGGACCCCACAAACACTGTAAACCTGACAAGTGTGTTTGTTAGACGTCTTAAATACCAACCTGACTGGACCCCTTAACACAAAATCAACCCGAGGGAGCCTTAAAGCAGACACACAGCTTAACTGACCATCAAAATAAAAAAATCAGATACATTTAAAGGACCTGACCAATCAGCAGAGTTTTTACAACTGCAGATTTAACACTAAAGAGCAGACAGGATGATCAGCTGGAATAATTACCTCTATCTCTCTGAGTGTAGATCCCTCAGGAGGCTCCTCTGCGGTACTGGAGATCTCAGCCTCAGATGTTTCAGCCACATTAGGTGGTTCCATGTCCTAAACAACAAGTTTGAGATGAATAGTAAATTAACCAACTATTTACTGATCTAATTTCTGCACATTTAAAGCCACTGGCACCTCAAATATACATAACAGTCTATTAACCTGATGAATCCACTCACTGCAGCTCATGCTAAATCACCTCATCTAAACAAATCCATTTGTACTTACTGCTATTTTTTGTCAACTGATGTCTTCTTAAAAACATAAAGTGATTATAGAGAATAGAAAGGACTTGAAGAGACTTAGGTCTCCTAGTCAAACAGCTGGAGTGGCAGCTAAGGTCTTAGATCATTACACAGTGAGGAACACATCAACTGCAAAGGATGTATTTTTTTCATATGATATTTAATCTCTCATTAATGTCAACAGTGTATCTGACTTTACGTGGACCCCACAAACACTGTAAACCTGACAAGTGTGTTTGTCAGACATCTTAAATACCAACCTGACTGGACCCCACAACTCAAAATCAACCCAAGGGAGCCTTAAAGCAGACACACAGCTTAACTGACCATCAAAATAAAAAAATCAGATACATTTAAAGGACCTGACCAATCAGCAGAGTTTTTACAACTGCAGATTTAACACTAAAGAGCAGACAGAATGATCAGCTGGAATAAATACCTCTATCTCTGTGAGTGTAGATCCCTCAGGAGGCTCCTCTGCGGTACTGGAGATCTCAGCCTCAGATGTTTCAGCCACAGTAGGTGGTTCCATGTCCTAAACAACAAGTTTGAGATGAATAGTAAATAAACAAACTATTGTTCTGATTTCTTCACAATTAAAGATACAGGCAACTTTAAATACATTATGATTCTTAAACCTGATGAATCCACTCGCTGTAGCTCTCATGCTAAATCCCATAATCTAAACAAAATCATCTGTACCAACTACTATTACTGTCGCTTGGTGTCTTCTTTTAACCAAAATGTGGATCATGGAGCCCAGAAAGGACTGGCAGAGACTTCAGTCTCCTAGTCAAACAGCTGGAGTGACCGGTAGGGTCTTAGATCATTACACAGTGAGGAACACATCAACTGCAAAGGATGTATTTTTTTCATTTGATATTTAATCTCCCATTAATGTCAACAGTGTATCTGACTTTACGTGGACCCCACAAACACTGTAAACCTGACAAGTGTGTTTGTCAGACATCTTAAATACCAACCTGACTGGACCCCACAACTCAAAATCAACCCAAGGGAGCCTTAAAGCAGACACACAGCTTAACTGACCATCAAAATAAAAAAATCAGATACATTATAAGGACCTGACCAATCAGCAGAGTATTTACAACTGCAGCTTTAACACCTCAAGACCAGACAAGATGATCAGCTAGAATAAATACCTCTATCTCTCTGAGTGTAGATCCCTCAGGAGGCTCCTCTGTGGTCCTGGAGATCTCAGCCTCAGATGTTTCAGCCACAGCTGATTGTCTGCCCTTCTAAGATTAGGATGAATGACAAGTGTGTTTGTTAGGTTGCTAAAATCACAACCTAACTGGAGCCCATTACATCAGAACAACTTGAGTAAGCTCTGAAAATGTACTTCAATTTTTGTCAGTAACAAAGACTTTGACAAACCTTTTTCCTCCTAGGCCAGTCATCCTGTTGTTGGACTTTTCTGCTTCTCAGCGTATACATCCTATTAAGGAAAATTTAAGTTTTGATTTTTTTTTATCTCTATGGACAAACATGCCAGGCCCAGTGCATGTCTGCAGTGTCATATAACTACTCAATAATGTTTAATGTTACTAAAATTACATTCATTGTAAACTTTAACAACCATGTGACAAACCAGTGAGTAGTGACCATGTTGTCTGACACAAAATGATGAACTTGCTCCTGCTGCTTCACTGTGAACGGTCTGTCATTTACTTCAATTAAAAGCGCACGTGCCTAAGATGGCGGCTTTGCTCTCACTCCCCCCCACCCTACCCCACCCACCCAACATAACGCACATTTCCCCAAATATGACCGTGTTGTAAAAGAATAAGATTCAGATAAAAATTAAACAAAATCAAGTCACATTTTCGGTGTTTTTTAAAGTTAAAAACTTTGACAAAAAGTTACAAGAGAACACAATGCGACCGTGAGACCGCTAGTTCTGCCTAACGAACTTTGCTAGCAGCTAGCTTTCTGTGTGCATGCCACATAATACCATGTGTGAAAACACCGGGTAACTTTTTGACTATAAAGTAATCACTTACCTAATTATTTTATCAGAATCCCACTTACCTTTCAGTTAAATCCTCTCCTGCTGCAGCTCAAGTCTCCCCTGCAGTCAAGTGCTTCTCACTCATCTCCGTACCGTCAGCTGAGGAGCGCTTACTCTGTATAGTCAGCACGTCCTGAACGGGTGGTGCTGCTTTAACCATAGATTCCTATATCCGCCCGCCAGGCATGTCAATATAAAAATTTAAAGCAGCCCACTCCTCTTTGTTAGAGTAATAGTGTGTGTGTTTATCAGTTACCAGTTTCAATAAATGTATTTATTTACTAATTTAAATACACTTTTTGTAGTCAAGTGCTTATCTCTTCTCCAAACTATCAGCTAAGGAGCGCTTACTTTGCAAAACTGTTACATCCTGTGCGGGTGGTGCTGCTTTAATGACAGAATTTGTGTGTCCGCCCGCCAGACATTTGTTATTAAGGCAGCCCGCTTCTTTTGTTATTGTAGAAGTGTGTGTTTATCAGTTTCAATTTCAGTAAATAGGAACTTATTTATTTAAAAGGATGATTTCATGTTTCTGACAATTAATCACTTTGTCTTGCCCAGCCTGCCTGTACTATCTCAAACAACAATAATCACGGTAATAATAATAATAATAATAATAATAATAATAATAATAACATTCTTACTGCAAGAATCCCAATTCTTCTACTGTTACCACTACTACTTCTATTATCATTTTATTAGTATTATTATTGCAGTACATTTTACTTGTGTTACTTTAAAAAAATACCGAAAGATAAGTGTCACAAAAACTCATGTTATAAACGAAGAAAAAAAAACAAAGCTTGGATAAAATGGCATCATCAGTGATTCCAGAGATGTGTTTTAGAGGAGAATTGGATTTTGGCAGATCAGTTTTCTGTTGGAGGTTGAGGCTCTCACACTCTCTTTCACCACTGGTCCTGCAGACAGGTCAGAAAGGAGTGTGAGAGTTGAGCAGGTCAGTAAAACAGGATTAGGACCTTATCAGTAAGATAGGGTCCTGATCATGGAGAGCTTTGTGAGTGAAGAGAGGGACTGTACAGTGAGAAAGTCTTTGGATTGGAGACTAGTGGAGGTTCTGGAGTAACAGGGAGATTTGCTAACAGAAGTAAGAGTGTGTGAGAAGGTGAGCAGCAGAGTTCTGGATATACCAGGGTTTATTGAGGACTTTGGGTAATGAACTGTTCAAGATGCTTTAGTACGCAATTCTGGATGATATGACAGCATTATTAGGGGATAATGCAGATGAGAGAGAGGCTGAAAGAGCTGAGACAGGGATGAACTTGAGGTTCCTGAATGCTGATTTCTCTTTTTGACCATGAAAGCTGATGTGGATATTCAGTATTGTTGCTAGATGGTGGTCACGAATATGGAGATTGTGGCTCAAGACTTGCTTAATGGTGAGACCAGAGCAAACCAGCAGAATGTGCTCACAACTGCGGGTGTGGAAGTTGATATTTTGTGTTAAGTTAAATAACTGCATTAACCAGTAAGGTAGAGCTTTAAAGTTTGAAAGAAAATGGTATGAAGGTTTGTGTTGCAGGAGTTTGAGAGGAGATAAAGTTTGTTATCGGTGATGAATTTATTCAGGGAGGGAAAGATTCCATTGAAAAATGAGTGTTAACTTACACCAGTTGCTTTGGAATTTGCTCAGAAGACTGGAGAAGAGAGCAGAGATTTGACAGGTCTACATGCTGTTCTTTGTTGTTATGATGCAATGAGGCAGTGTGGCAAGACCATAGTGAAGGGTTAAAATTTGTGGATGAGAAGTGGTGTATGTATGAAAAATATGTGCAGAGCCTCTGCACAACATTATCTGTGGACTGCATCAGCCTTTCTCAGACTGTCAACACAGCCTTGGCAGAGGTGGTTAATGAACAGATGCAGTGCTAAGGAGTAATACAGTCAGGGGAAGCTAGTTTATAGCTAGTATTGGCAGTGGACCAGAGGCTAGGTGTCCTAAGAGGGAGAAGTAACAAGCAGCCCAGGAACATCTGCAGGTTACATCCAATCATGACGGCAGCAAAAACCCTACAGTTGTGTATTGAGGAGAGGAGAGGATAGCCAGGAGCAGCAGTCTGTTGTTCCTGCTATCTTCTGTGGCAGCTAACATTAGCCGACACTTTGGCTACCTGGCTATGTACACTGCTAACTTTTTTACAGATTGTTCACCCAGCAGCAAAAACACTACAATGTGTGTTGAGGAGAGGATAGCCAGGAGCAGCAGACTGTTGTTTCTACTACCTTCTGTAGCAGCTTACATTAGCTGACAAGTCAGCTACCTGGCTATGTACACTGCTAACTGTTTAAAAGATTGTTCACCCAGCAGCAAATCACTACAGTTGTTGTGTACTGAGGAGAGGAAATGATAGCCAGGAGCAGCAGCCTTTTGTTCCTGCTACCTTCTGTAGCAGCTAACATTAGCTGACACTTTGGCTACCTGCTTATTAACACTGCTAACTTTTTTACAGATTGTTCACCCAGCAGCAAAAACCCTACAATGTGTGTTGAGGAGAGGGGAGGATAGCCAGAAGCAGCAGCCTTATGTTCCTGCTACCTTCTGTAGCAGCTAACATTAGTTGACAAGTCAGCTACCTGGCTATGTACACTGCTAACAGTTTTACAGATTGTTCACCCAACAGCAAAAGTACTACAGTTGTGTGTTGAGGAGAGGAGAGGATAGCCAGGAGCCGCAGACTGTTGTTTCTACTACCTTCTGTAGCAGCTTACATTAGCTGACAAGTCAGCTACCTGGCAATGTACACTGCTAACTGTTTTACAGATTGTTCACCCAGCAGCAAATCACTACAGTTGTTGTGTACTGAGGAGAGGAAATGATAGCCAGGAGCAGCAGCCTTTTGTTCCTGCTACCTTCTGTAGCAGCTAACATTAGCTGACACTTTGGCTACCTGCTTATTAACACTGCTAACTTTTTTACAGATTGTTCACCCAGCAGCAAAAACCCTACAATGTGTGTTGAGGAGAGGGAAGGATAGCCAGAAGCAGCAGCCTTATGTTCCTGCTACCTTCTGTAGCAGCTAACATTAGTTGACAAGTCAGCTACCTGGCTATGTACACTGTTAACAGTTTTACAGATTGTTCACCCAACAGCAAAAGTACTACAGTTGTGTGTTGAGGAGAGGAGAGGATAGCCAGGAGCCGCAGACTGTTGTTTCTACTACCTTCTGTAGCAGCTTACATTAGCTGACAAGTCAGCTACCTGGCAATGTACACTGCTAACTGTTTTACAGATTGTTCACCCAGCAGCAAATCACTACAGTTGTTGTGTACTGAGGAGAGGAAATGATAGCCAGGAGCAGCAGCCTTTTGTTCCTGCTATCTTCTGTGGCAGCTAACATTAGCCGACACTTTGGCTACCTGCTTATTAACACTGCTAACTTTTTTACAGATTGTTCACCCAGCAGCAAAAACACTACAATGTGTGTTGAGGAGAGGAGAGGATAGCCAGGAGCAGCAGACTGTTGTTTCTGCTACCTTCTGTAGCAGCTAACATTAGCTGACAAGTCAGCTACCTGGCTATGTACACTGCTAACAGTTTTACAGATTGTTCACCCAACAGCAAAAGTACTACAGTTGTGTGTTGAGGAGAGGAGAGGATAGCCAGGAGCAGCAGACTGTTGTTCCTGCTTCATTGTGAAGTAGCTAACATTAGCTGACAAGTCAGCTACCTGGCTATGTACACTGCTAACAGTTTTACAGATTGTTCACTCAACATCAAAAACACTACAGTTGTGTGTTGAGGAGAGGAAAGGATAGCCAGGACCAGCAGCCTGTTGTTCCTGCTGCATTCTGAAGCAGCTTACATTAGCTGACAAGTCAGCTACCTGGCTATGTACACTGCTTACTGTTTCTACAGATTGTTCACCCAGCAGCAAAAACACTACAATTATGTGTTTAGGAGAGGAGAGGATAGCAAGAAGCAACAGCCTGTTGTTCCTGCTACATTCTGAAGCAGCTGACATTAGCTGACAAGTCAGCTATCTGGCTATTTACACTGCTAGCTTTTTTACAGATTGTTTTGCATTACAAATATCTGATGAATATAAAAAAATCAGGTCTTTATTTACAATGTACCAATATAATTTATTCAGTATTAGTCTATTGTAATGCCATAAATTACATTTCTAAAAGTCATTCTCAGTACAAAATCATGTTATTGAGCAAATGTTTCTAAGAGTCAAAGAGCTGTAAGTTTTTAACTCATGATGTGCGAGAGCATTAACATCAGTTTACCAGACCAACCAAATCTCTTTATATGTGTAAATGTCCATCTCAGATATGGGTTTGTCTCACCTTTTTTTATTACTTGTTTTGGTAAGTCTGAATATATGGCTAACCCCCTAGACAAAGTGGCAGCTGCCAAACTCATGACACCAATAGGTGAGACAGAGGCTAAACAACATTAACTGTTTAAATCTAAAACCAGACTTTAAGTTAAGGCGAGGTAATACAAAATCTTTATTAAATTTGTCATACATTTGCAGTTCAATTTTGTCTGATCACAAAAATAGCATCATGAAAAATTGTGGTTTAACTTTACATTTCAAATAACTGGTCAATATAAAAAATCTAAATTAATTCATAATTAAAACTAATGCAGAATATTTTACATATGGTTGTCTTCTGATGTGATTGACTTTATTGTTACAGCCTCTTCTTTTAAATGCTCCAAAGTGTTTTTTACCATATTCACCATATTCTGGTGGATGACTTCAGAAAAGCAGTAGCCACAAGAAGGCTTGTGCTCACAAATCACTTAATATTAGGTGCCAGGGACTAATGTTTTGAGAAATCCCTTGGAGCATTTCTATAATCTAAAGGTTCACATTCACAAGCTATATATAACCATGATGCTTCAAACCTGGACAACTAACTTTTGACGCTAAATCAAATCAGTTTACCATTGATTCAAAAAGGCTACCTTGGGAAATAAATAAATAAGCAAGATCTAAAAGCATTTTTTCAGTTTTTATCATTATGTTGCTGACTTCTTTGTCATAAATCTGTTAGTCACGAGCAACAGATGAATATGGCTCTACCTTACCTTGTCCCATGATCTATAACTTAAAACTTCTACTATATCCTTTCATTCAAGTGGAATGAATAGTCATCTTAAGTTAAAGAAGCTAGCTTAATCTCAGAGGGCTGTTGCATAGCATATTTCAATCAAGTGTGTGTACAAGTGTGTATGGCTGCAGTATCACTTTTCACCACTAGGGGCCAGTACTGAGTTACCTCCCACATACACACTTTAGCACACAAATGTCGGTAAATGTGTATTCTGGGGTGAACCCTGAAAATTTGACAGGGCACTATTTTAACCATTTTATCACTGAATAATAGGTTACTTTTTGTGGGGTCCAGGATTTTGGTCCCCACTTTATTTTCAGTCCCCACGCTGTGAGTGGGCTATCACATCTCGGTACCAACAATGTATTAAAGACAAACACACACACACACACACACACACACACACACACACACACACACACACACACACACACATAGTTTCTATTACCTTTGTAACAGAGATAGACTCAACTGTAATCTCAGTTGAGTCTATCTCCAATATCTCTGAACAGACTGATTCCTCACTGTCATATATCCATAATTTATTTTCTATCATTCTAAAAATTAAGGTGTTTTTGAAAGGTCTCATTAAGGTACTCCTGGATAAAAAATAAATAAATACAAATAAAAATCACAGAGATGCAAACCTCAGCAGTGAGGTCTCTCACTAAATTTGATTGCACTTTCTAATACAGCAGGTCTGAGATCAGTGTAATTTACCCTTTATGAAGGTAAAGAAATCCATCCTGGTAGTCTACCCTAAATTTGCAGCCCCCCCTTTTGGTGAAAAGGGGTCATCTGAATTTAATAAACAGAAACTCTGCAGTCTTTAACAATTGGTATGTGTGTGTTTGGTTCAAGAGTTTGGTTATTTCATTATTCTTCAGGGATAAATAAAGTTATGCTTATTCTTATTTCACTATGACTAGCATCAGCCCCCTCTACTGGGCATTTTCCATCTCAAACTGGGGAGTCTTTTTTACGAAACCCGCACACGACAACATTTACTTAACGGTGTATCACCATTTTCTTTATATGCACATTTACAAGAAAAAAGCTAAAACATGAGGTGGCATAGCTTGACTTATCTTTGTTTCCATGTATTTGGCAACAAAATGATTGTTTGCCTCTTGGAGGATCATCTACTGAGTAAACACATAGGGCCTGATCTACTAAGACCCCAAATAGCGAGCACTAAATTACGTGTGCAAACTAAAAAATAGCACGTGCTATTAGTAGGCGTGTTGCGGGTGATCTACTATCATTGCGTGTGATATTGATAACGGGTGCAAAAGTGGTGTGGACCGCCCTCTTTAAAGAAGGATTTCGCGTGCACTGTCAGCCGTCACCATGGAGAGTTTATGAGAGCATAGAGTTTGAAGCCATGGAGTTGCACATATCGTTTTGGGGAACTGCATAAAAGGCAAGGCAAGTTTATTTGTATAGCACCATTCATACACAAGACAATTCAAAGTGCTTTACAGATACAAGGATATATACTAGAAATCAAAAAAGGGATTAAATCGATTTAAAATCAATAAGACAAACAGATATTTTTTTCATCTGTTCCGTGTTTGGCCTTATTATTTATGAAAATCGTCATTTACTAGAAAAACAAAATAAATCACAAGCTTTTGGACAAGGACCATGGCGTGTATCATGGCTCTTCTGCATCCTTCTCCCCACAATGACCGTGCGTAATGCTCTGTCAGTTTGCACGTGCCTTTAAAACGTGCTAAATATAGACGCAAAGCAGGGATCGCAATCGGTTTCCGGGTTTGATAAATCACATTGTGAGTGCTAAATGATTTCATTTGCACCTGCTCCTCCAAGAATTTTGTGCGTTCTGTGCATAAAAGTGCAGTGCATAATATGCATAAATAAATACAAATTTTTAGGTAAAAGTGGCAGCCAAGTCGAAGCGGCATTTGCTCCCGGTGACACCAGCAGCCGCTTCGAGTCGCTTTTCACTTCTGGTGGTGACAGGAAGTCAAACGGAGTAATTTTTTTGCTCCGGTACGGGATTGGGACGGGACGGGATTTTTTCTCTGAGAGTGGGACGGGACAGGAGTGACAAATCCACTCCCGTGTAATGCTCTACTCCATAGGGATGGCTGGAGGAGGTGGGATTTATGACTTATACTGCAGCCAGTCACCAGAGGGTGCTGTCCTTGTGGTGGCTTCACCAAGTGAGGAGGCAGACAGAGTCTATTCTATATACAGTCTATGTTAAAATACCATACTGCACTGAAATACTCTACCCCTCTCAGCATTTTGTACAGGTATATTGGTCGCACTAGTAGATAGGATTGATCACTTACGAAATTATTTTAAAAAAAAAGTGTTCATTTCCCTATTGTGTTCAAACAATTTCCATTTACTTCTGACAAATACTTTTAAGATAATTATGTTAGATTAGCGCAGCAGAACCGCAAACAATGTAAAGATGGGAGAGTCTTACTAATTTCATCCACCGCTTTCTGAATATCAGTCAATTTTTATTTGTTTTAGTAGCACAGTTTACAACAAATGTTAGCTCCAGACACTTAAGGGAAAAAGCTGGTCTAGACCAAACACTTTGTTATATTTACAAAGACTTAAATCAATATAGGGCCTTACTTGCACGAGCCATGGTCCTATTGTAGCTCAGAATGGAGACTGGTGGACCAGCAGGTTTGGATCCTCAAAGTTTGTCAGGTGTTTCAATGATTTATTTAAGCCCCGGACAGGAAAAAAAATGAAAATAAAGAACTAAAAATAAAACAAAAATGTTCTCAGAATAATAAAGGATTTTCTTGTTTTGTGTTGCTGCTTCTGCTTTGTTTTGTTGTCAGAACTTTGGTGCAATAATTAAGTCTAACCACTAGAGCGCACTGTTTTCCAACTGTGAAATGTGTTAGCTGCATTAAATCGCACTCAGTTCAAAAATAATTATTTACATGATACGAAGTATAAATGAATAGATTAATGAACTGCAAATCAAAATGACTAGTATCTGTGGTAAGATTTGGCAGTTAAATCATGAAAAGATGTGATTTTTCTGCAGGTCCACACATGAATGGCTGTTTATTATTTGGCAGGCTGCACAGAGGAGCCAGTCAGATCCTCATGATCTAGAAAGTGGTCAGATTTCTGGTTCCTGTGTTGCGGTAAGTTTAAACTGATACGACTCAAAGACTTTTTTAGAGACGCTCTGAGTTGTTTTTAGTCCCTGCTTTCAAATGTAAGTCATGGTGTGAATTTGTGCACCTTTTGACCCTCAGTGCTCTCTGTTTCATCTCCTCCTCCTCCTCTTCATGTAGGAGGCACTTTACTTAACTTAACAGTCCACCCCCTCATGTAAAGCAACATGTGGCATCACTGTAGGTGTGTAGTTATGTAGTAATCAGTATGTAAGTTTCCGTGTCTCCTCTCAAATTGTCCTGTCCTGCATATAATGAAAATATCATTTAGTTATCCTGATAAGCACATACACCAAACTTCTATGCATAGCCCCTGATTTTATTTGATACTAAGCCTACCTGCCAACATGTTACTGATCACTTCATCTTTGCTGAAATTCACCTTTCACTCAGAAAGACTTGTAAAAGTTGCTCCTTCCACCAAATAACCACAGCCCTTATTTTAAGTTTTTTTTTGTTAGTTTGTTTGTTTTGTATTCTGTTTTGGTCTGTTTTGCTGACATGCACGCCAAAACTCAAGGCCCACTAGTGGTTTTGCAGCCAACACGCTTGTTGCATGAAGCACCAGAATTCAGGCGGCTGTGGAAATTAGAAAAACAAGATCAGAATCTACCAAACTGACCTGATTGTGTTTATTCTGTGTGGTGTTGATTCTGCTGTCTGATCGGCAGCATTTCATATCAGATCATCTCCTTTTACCCATAACTCCCAAACAACTCAGCTCATGAGGATTTTTCTGAAAGTCACTGATAACTTCTCCAAGAGTTTGGCTCTTAAATTTAAATGTTAAAACTTAAAAATCGATAAATAGATATTTACAGACTCTGGAGTCAAACAGAATCAAGTGGCTGAAACTCCTCTGAGCTTGCTCCGTTCATACCATCGTATCATCATGATCTGCACAACACAGTAATGGATGAAGTGTAACATAATCTGAAGGCCTGTTCGGACACACTCCCACCCTGCTTACACACTTTTTCCACCCACACAATAAAAACACATCATGTTTTTTTTCCCTGTGCGGAGGAGCAGATGTGGGGTGTTGAAGTTGGAGTGCTGCAGTGTTTGGATGAGCTCAGATTTTCATAACATCCTGGCTGCCCTCAGAGAGGAGCGTCTCAAAGTGAACTCAGGCTCTCTGCTGTGCTCTTGTTCCTCTGGATATTATTCTGTAAAAAGAGAGGAAAACCACACTGCTCTTGTTATTAAAAGTGTCCGTACAGAAAACATTTCACACATATTTAGAGTAAGACCGAAATAAGAACTAAATCATCATGCAGTTTATTAATCTCAGCTTCTAGTGTAATCTGCCCCATTAAACTAAGGAGAAAATTTTGGATTGAGTGTCACACACCCAAGCTATCTGGACGGTCAAGTTTCCTGTCAGGATTAATGATAATGAGGAACCTTAGATAACTTATTAAAAAATGCTGATTTTCTTCTTTGTTTGTTTGTTTTTAATCCCCTCATCAAACCATTGCTGTCACTTAAAAAGTAAAACTTCCCACCATATTACAGGACCCACAGAGGTCCTCAGATGACATGAATCTGGTCCAAATCCTCATCTCAGTCATTTGGGGTGGTAATGATTCCTTTATAAGGATCTCAGTAGTTTTTTCTGCATCTTTTGGGTCAACATGATGGAGTCTGCGTCAGACATTGAGGGGTCTGACAGGCTTTTCAGATGACTCAAGATACATATTGTGTTTGAATAGTGTTTTTGTGTAATCCCATGCAAAAAAGGATACAGAGTTTCCCTAAAATGATACGTTTCTGTCACAGGTATAGTGCTGCAGCTAAAACCAAACCTTGACCATTATTAAACATGGATGATGACTTGTTCGTAAACTAGCTGGGATTAGGTAAAACCATAGACTGTATATACTATGGACAACTTGGTTCAGCCTCCGGCCAGTATACGGATTTGAAGCCAAAAAGCTCTCAGTATTTCTGGGATTATTCTTCATTTCCTGAAACCAGCATTGCACAGTAGCAGTGTGCGCATTCGGCGGGAGAGTCACCAAAAGTCGCAATCCCTGAACGCCCATAGGCTGTATCAGGTGTCAATCATAGAAAACATGAACCCCCTAATAACTTTTAAAAACAGAGCTTCACAGAAAAAAGAGGACTTGAGCATAAACCAGTCTTAAAATAACTACATGTCAACATCGCAAGCAGGGGGGAGAAAAATTTATATTTATGTAATTTATTTTGCTGGCGGAGGCGGGATTTA